TCTCAGCTTTCTTCTGAGATTCCTCAAATGAAACCATATTATCTGCTAGGCACCATAGACACTAGGGCTTAGATTCTTTTCAAGAGTCTGCAAAAGTATTTAATTGTAAGCTCTGGGGAAATAAACTGTAAAACTGTAGTTAAAATGTCTAAGAAATATACAATTCTTCCAAGAAGTCAGTGCAATTCATCTTATACTCATATAATAATCCTTATTATGAGATATGGATTGAAATCTAGTGTTTGCTAGGGTGTGAGGGGGCCTAGAACAGGGGTGGAGGACATCTGGCCTGCAAAATCGTCACCACCAGCTAATATCACATGCCTCACCAAAGAAAAACAGTTCCAGCCATCACCTTAGGGGTGAGTAGTCTAAATGTCTGATCAGTAAGACCTGAAAATTATGTTGTAAATATACAAATGGCCTTGGCAGAAAAAAAGGTTCCCCACTCCCAGCCTAGAGTTTAGGAAGATCTTGCCTTCCCCCGAAAATCTAGGTTAGATGCCTTATCTTTGTGTGCCTGTAACACTTCATCTCTCCCCTAAGTGGTGAAGACTACCAGGCACTATCAGCAGTAGGGCTTAGATTCTTCTCAATAGTCTGCAAAATTATTTATGCTAACTGTCCTCCAATATACAGTCCCCATTTTTTCCTTAACAATAAACAAAACTCACTTTCATTAAGTTGATCTGACTCATAACAACCCTATAGGGCATTTGGGTTTGCAAGCCTGTAAATCTTTATTGGAGCAGAAAATCTCATCTTTCTCCCAGAGAGCAGCTAGCTGCCCAACTCATAACCCATGACACCACCATGTCTCCTTTCCCTGAACAAGAGAATTCCCAAATTCTAACATCTTACATGGCTACCTGGCATCAAGTCTGCGTTTTCCAGCTTTCCTTGAAGATCGTGAGTGAGACCTTGTAATTAAACCCTGGCCGCTGGTATGCACAAAATATACAGGGATTAGCAAATAGGTGAGTTGATGGTTTGATTCAATCAACTGAAGTTCTGTGGAAGCAGATCTCTAATCCATGGCACATGGATTGTTGTGGTGATCACCCCCCAACCATAAAATTATTTTCGTTGCTACTTCATAACTGTAATTTTGCTACTGTTATGAATCGGGCAAAAGGGTCATTCAACCCCCAAAGGGGTTGTGACCCACAGGTTGACAACCACTGTTCTAAAGCTTTATTTTTCAAAATGGCAAAACACAATCTTAAAAAAAAAATCTTTTTTTAATAAAAAGCTCTAGCTCAGATAAAAAAACTTAGGACATGAACTCAATTATCCAACTATAAGACATTAAAAATGATTGTTTTTGTTACATGTGATCATGTCAGCTCTGATGCACAGTGGCCTCATGCACAAGAGAACAAAATACTGCATCAGCCTCACAAATTGTCCTATTTGAGCCCACTGTTGCAGCTAAACATGAATATACCTCTATATATTGTAAACATATTTTATTTCAAAATTCTCCTTTTTAGCACTTTCACATACCATCTAAAACAAAGTTACTTTTGACCTTTAATTCCTCTTTTGGTTACACATTTAATCCATATACAAATCTGCTATAGGATCAAAGTTCTTCATTAAGTAAATGGTATGTGACATCTCCTAATAGGGAAGCTTAGTTTCTTTATTTCTAAAAATACAGGATCAGTATATAACACAGAATGAAATAGTAAAATCGAAGATTACCTGTACACCAAGATCCTTCATGTACGGCCCAAGTTCACTAAACAAATCATATCCTTGATGAAAGAAGGCCAAATGTGCATACATAAAGGATAACATCTAAAAGAGGGGAAAAATGGCCATTTTATAATCTAATTCTCAGTAAACATTCTGAATTCTTTTAAATATCCCAAGCCTATTTGATATTTTAAACTTATTTCTAAAGACCCAAAGGTGCCAAGCCAGTTAAAAATAAAACAGTATTTTTTTCTTCAGAGCATTTCAAATATATTTTTTAATGTAACAAAAAATAAATTTTGTGCAAAATAAATATCCACCATTTGTGTATCAGTTTGCCACACTGTGGTGGCTTTGTGTGTTGCTGGGATGCTATGTCACTGGTATTGCACATGCCAGCAGGGTCACCCAAA